CACAAACATATTGTTACTGCCAATGGTGAAAAGTTAAACATCATTGGTAGTAGTGATCTGTTTCTTAAGCTTTCACCCACTGCATCTTTCCCTCTTACCAAGACCCTTCTTGTTCCTAATCTCACTACAAACTTGATTTCTATTGGCCAATTAATTGATGAAGGTAACATTCTCATTTTCTCTCGGGATGGATGTTTGATTCAGCACCAGAACACTGGAAAGGTGAAAGGGAAGGGGGCACAGGCTGGGCCGTCTGTTTGTATTGGAGTTCGAGAAGCCTCAAACAGAAGCATCATCAGTTTATTTCAGTTCCTCCACTTCTAGTTCCTTTCTGAATCATAGAAATAATGTTTGGGACTTATGGCATAAATGTCTAGGTCATTTACTTTTTGAAAATTAAAATTTTTGTTTGATTTTGGCCTTATTAAGAATAAAGTTCCTTCCTTGCACACCTTTGATACATCTTGTGTTTCTTGTTGCTTAAGTAAGAGTCGTACCTTACCTTTTCCTCACACATTTGAGCATGCTACCTCTCCCTTTGAGCTTATACATAGTGATGTCTGGACTGCTTCTGTCTCTTTTCTGCTCGGATACAAATATTTTGTGTCGTTCATTGATGATTGTACCAGGTACACATGGATATACTTTCTTTGCCACAAGTCTGAGGTGTTCCCAACATTTAAGTTGTTTCGTGCTATGGTGCAGGTTTGGTTTCAATCACAAGTGTGTATTCTCCGTTCAGACTCAGGAGGAGAATACACTAATGGAGATTTTTTTTATCCTATATGAAGGATCATGGAGTACAAGTGCAATGAAGTTGTCCAGATACTCCTCAGCAAAATGGTGTGGCCGAGCGCAAGAGTGGACATATCCTTAGTGTTGTAAGGACATTATTGTAGGAGTTCCATACTCCACCTTCCTTTTGGGTAGAGGCAGGTAGTACAACTGTATTTTTGATCAACTACATTCCTTTCCTCAGTTCTTGGTAATATGTCTCCCTTTCAGAAGTTATTTGGTCGTTCTCCAGATTTATCTATGCTTCATGTCTTTGGATGTGTGTGCTTTGTTGATCTTCCCTCTCGTGAACGTTCTAAATTGTCTGCACAGTTTGTCATGTGTGCCTTTGTGGGTTATAGTCCTGACCACAAAGGATTTCTTTGTTATGATCCCTCTATTCGCCACATTCGTATATCATGTAATGTTGTTTCTATTTTGCCAAACTTTGATTCACAGGATGCTCCACCTCTTTCTGCTGAGGACTTTCTCGTCTTCTCTCGCAAGCGGTTATATGCTCCAGTCCCTGCGCCTGCGACTCTCTTTCTTCCTGGTTCAGATCATCATCCTACCACTGCTCCTGTAAGTGATACCTCCTCAGTTGTTTTAGCTAGCAGGGAATCAGGAGGTGTTGGTGGCGGAATGTTATGAGTTGAGAGATAGTTTGACTTCTTGGCATAGTTGTCAAAGCGACGCCTAGGCGACAAGGCGCCCTTGGAGGCTTGCCTCGCCTAGTCGCCTAGCAGTTTTGTATAGTGTCTTATAAAATACTTTTATATTGTTACTTTTTTGAGTTATAATTATAAAATAGACATTATTAAACAAAAATATTCATTTTTTTTTGTTTATAAACTGATTTCTTTTTATTATTTTCTTTTTTGTTAGGGTTTAAT